ACAAGAACAGAAAACCAAACACTGCATGTTCTCACTCATAGGTGGGAACTGAACAATGAGATCACTTGGACTTGGGAAGGGGAACATCACACACAGGGGCCTATCACGGGGAGGGGGGAGGGGGGAGGGATTACATTGGGAGTTATACCTGATGTAAATGACGAGTTGATGGGTGCTGACGAGTTGATGGGTGCAGCACACCAACATGGCACAAGTATACATATGTAAAAAACCTGCATGTTATGCACATGTACCCTAGAACTTAAAGTATAATTAAAAAATAAAAATTAAAAATTAAAAAATAAAAAATATGGGCTTCAACACAAGTATTTTATCATATTTTATATAATTTACTCTAAAATATATGTTAAACATCATAATGAGAAAAATTGTGTTTATCTTATAATGGGGTATAAAATGTTCATATGTTAAGTATTAATACCTAATGATGTACATTTTACTGGGACATTCTGTATATGGACAGCAATTAAGCAAATTAGGAGACATATAAGCATCAGCCTACAGAGATAGGAGCTACATTTTAATAAATTAGGACTATATTTCATAAGGTAATTATTACCCATTTTTAAGTGAGAATTTTTATAGTCAGAATAATTTTGTCAATGTTTCCCAAATTGTGATTCAGTGAATATATATTCCAAATTATAATTACATTTAATTCTGCTGTAATATAATATATACGTTCCTTAAAAATCAGTGTGCTATGAAAAATCATGCAAAAAGTAAAAATAAAAACAACAGAGCTTATGGAAAAAGTGGCACCAGACACATAAAACTCAAAAACTTTGTCAGTGATACATTAACAAAAAGAACCCAATAAAACCAGGCCCATTGCCTTAGAGTTAAAACAGGGGCATGCCAAATAGTTAAAAATACATAAACTTGCAATACATACAGCACTTAAAAAAAATCTGCAGTTTGCTTGTGGAAGTCAGTTTCAGAAGGGTTGTAGCTTATGAGTTATAAAGTGATAGAAGGATCATTATGTAAATTCTCACAAGATACTCTATCACCACATGTGGATGGCTGTGCCTCCTGACACTCAGTGAGCTGTATTGTTTGAGGTGTGTGTGTTGTGCGTGCTCCCATGTCTTGGTTCAACCAGATGCACTTTTCCCCATTCACCTACTGTCTCTCCTAGACAAAACTGTGCAAAAATACACAATTTATCTTATGCTCAAAATGTTCCCTGATATATGAATTATGTTTGGAACAAATTTACATTTCAAAACAAGCATTATAACAGAAATGAGTGTAATAGGTACTTGAAAATAAAAGTGGAAGAAGTAGGATTCTATGTTCCAATAAATTCAGGAAATTTGGGGGTTAAGCAATGTTTATTTTTGTATTAGGCAATTTCTGAAACCATGCTGATGTAAACTCTGAAACTTCAAGAGGGCAATGAGTTTGCAATATTTTAAAAATTATTTAATGTTAGAGCATTCCCATTCATTAATATTTTGTGGTGGAAAAACAAGTAAAAATAGTGTTCCATGTAGCATAGTTTGGTAAACATTTTTCTATATTGTTTCACATTTATTGTTATAAAATGTAAAACAAGATTTTTCTCTCAGAACAGAAATAAATTATGATCTAATTCAATTCTGTGAGGATTACAAAAGAAATCTGCAATAAATTTTCAAAAATACTATCAATGTATCTAATATTACTGGTTTTATTTCTTCTGGCTCATAGAGAACTCTGAACCATGGCACACAAATAAAATACCATATTGAAGATCATCTTTTTAGCACAATTAACTTTACAGTAAAGATCTTATAAATCTACACCCAATGATTAAATTGTTGCTGTTAAGGATATGTGATTTTCTGGGACTTCAGTGTGATCCTTTTGTTCATAAAACATTTTCATGGGAAAAAAATTTTAAGGGAGTAATTTTGTTCTTTATTATTAATTTTACCTATTATTTCTGAATTAATATTTCTATTTTATTCAAATTTTTAACCAGTTCTTTTATTCTGTTTTTATATGCAAAGTTTACACAGGATTTAGAGTAAGTATGAAATAACTATTTGATCATTTATCAGATAGTCTGTTAAGGAAGAAAATTGTCATAGATGAATCTAATATAATTTAATCTTTTTTCAGATAAAAGGCAATGGATGGAAGATGAGAGTGAAAATGATAGCATCAGGATGATTGAAAAGTCTCTCATCAGTTAAAGCAACTAGAGCACTTGCAAAACTTGTCAGAATTAACACTTTCAGAACTCTGAAAATTGACCAATACTTCAAATAAGCCAAGGTAAATTTATTCAGGAAAATGGCTAAATTGCAGTAAGAAGAGTGAACCTTGCAGCATTTTAACTAGACATATTTTCCCATTCCCAACTCACCGACTCTGCAGTAGCTTTCACAGCTAACATTCTGTAAAAATGTTTAAAAGCAGCAGCCTAGCAGGAAATGGAGGGTGCAAAATAGGGTTGGATCTTCTTCAAAGCCCCGTTCCCTTTACCAGAGATGCCATCATTATTTTGACCTATCTGTTGGTTTCCTGACAAACTCTACTTGCAGGGCTTCCTTATTTGACCTAACTCAGAACTCACCCACGGAGAACAGTCTTTTCCTCAGGGACATTTGTTAGAAACAATCAGAACAACTGCTTAACATCACGGCCGCCTGAGGCAATGGATAGAAGTTGGTGAAAATAATCAGCTATTCAAAAAGCTTACAAAGAAAAAGTTCAAGAAAATGAGATGCCCATAGGAATTTATAAAAACTCTAACATATCCCTGAGGATCTAGAAAGCCATACACACATACAGGACTGTACTTATGATCAGAAAAAACACAAAACAAACAAACAAACAAAAAACCCTAAGAAGGCCTTGAGCTCTCACCTCTGGCTGACCTTGGTGGCTGTGTGTAAGCAGAAAGCAAGGGCAAGGCAGAGTTGCCTGGTGCCTGGCTAAGTGTCAAAGGCATGCCCACCATGAACACGGAGTCTCTCAGCAATGACTAAGGGAGATGTTGGTTCCCGACATCTAAGGAAATCTCTGTCCACTCATCAGCTGACCAATCAGCTATCAGAGCAAAGACCTCATTGATTATACAAGACAAAGAATACATACTTTTTAGAATTATTTCAGAAAAATTACTGAACAACAATAACAAAAAACAACAACAAACCCCGGGTAAGAGAGAAAATCTGATTTTCAGGGTTGCTGGATTGTATTATTCAAAATTTCCAGTTTCTAACAAAAATGAATAAATAAATGCATGCAAATAAGAAAATATAGCACATACACATTAGGAAAAGGAAGACAGCAGAAATTATTCCTGGGGAAGTCTAGACGTTGCACTTAATAAATAAAGTCTTTAAATCAGTGCAAATATGTTCAAAGGATTACTGAAAACTATATCTAAAAATTAAAGGAAATTATGAGAGCAATTTCTCATCAAACAGAAGATATCAAAATGTAAGTGTAAACTTTAATAAACATGGGTTAGGCAATCCTTTTTTAGATATGATCCCAAAAACTCAGGTAACCAAAACACATTGATAAATTTAACATCATCATAATTAAAAGGTTTGTGGTTTCAAGAACACTATCAATACCTGAAATGGCAGAAGTACCTAGAATATGTAAAGAGCCATTACAACCCAATAATAAAAAAAAATCCAATTAAAAATGGGCAAAGGATTTGAATAGGCATTTCTCCAAAGATTATTACACAAGTAACTAGTAAGGACGTAAAATCATCTTCAGTATCATTAGGCATTAGGGAAATGAAAATCAAAAGTACAATGAGAGTTCACTTCATATCCTTATGATGGCTAAATTTAAAAGATGGACAACAGCAAGTGCTAGCAAGAATGTGAAGAGATTTGAACCCTCATACATTGCTAATTGGAAATGTAAAATGGTGCAGCCACTTCAGAAAAGTTTGGCAGTTCCTCAGAACAATAAACAGAGTTATCATATGATTCAGCAATTCCATTCCTAGTTGTGTACCCAAAAGAATTGAAATCATATGTCACATAAGAATTTGTCCGTAAATATTCCTAGCAGCATAATTCATGATAGTCAAAACTGGAAACAACCCAAATGTTCCTCAACTGATGAATAAATTTAAAAATATAATGTATTCATCCGGGCGTGGTGGCTCACTCCTGTAATCCCAGCACTTTGGGAGGCCGAGGCGGGCAGATCATGAGGTCAGGAGATCCTGGCTAACATGGTGAAACCCCGTCTCTACTAAAAATACAAAAAATTAGCCAGGTGCAGTGGCAGGCACCTGTAGTCCCAGCTACTTGGGAGGCTGAGGCAGGAGAATGGTGTAAACCCAGGAGGCAGAGCTTGCAGTGAGCTGAGATTGCACCACTGCACTCCAGCCTGGGTGACAGAGTGAGAGTCCGTCTCAAAAAAAAAAAAAAAAAAAGTACATATACACACACATATATACTATATACATATATATACACATGTACATATATAAAAAGTATATATACTATATACATACACATATATACACATACATACATATATACATATATATACATTATATATATACAAAATATATATATGTAATGTATACATACAATGCAATATTGTTCAGCCATAAAAACAAATCAAAACTGGGTGCAGTGGCTCATGCCTGTAATCTCAGCACTCGGAGAAACTGCGATGGGAATATTGTTTGAGCCCAAAAGTTTGAGACCAGCCTGGACAACATAATGAGATTCAATCTCTACAAATTCATTTTTAAAAGCTAGCTGGGTGTGGTGGTACACATAGTCCCAGCTACTCAGGAGGCTGAAGCAGGAGGATCACTTGAACCTAGGAGGTTAAGGCTGCAGTGAGTCATGATCATGCCACTGCACTCCAGCCTGGGTGATAGAGCAAGATCCTCTTTTAATTTTTTAATAATCAAATTCTGGTTCACATTATAATGGAGGCAAACCTTGAAAATATTATGCTACATGAAAGCAGTGAGCCATAAAAGACCACATATTGCATTATTTTAATCATATAAAATGTCCAAAATAGGCAAATTTATAGAGACAGAAAGTAGATTAGCAGTTTCTAGAGGATGAGGAAAGGGCAATTTGGGGACCTGCTAATGGGATAATGAAAATGTTTTAGAAATAGAAAGTGATGATGATAGCCCAGCTCTGTGAATATACTCCCCCAAAAATCCACTTAATTACTAAAGAGGTGAATTTTTTGGTATGTGAATTATATGACCATTTTTAAAAAGAGAAAAAATAAGGCAAGAGGAAGGTAAGATTATTTCCAGCTCATGATGTTCAGAACACCCCATCCCAACAACATTTTACAATATACAGATGATAAGGCATTCAGCAATACAAAAGAAGGGAGTTGGAGGTGTGAGTTCTGCTCTGTGCAATAGTTAAGAGACAGGCTCCTTTCATGATATGGTCCAGCCACCTGCAACATGAGATTTCAAAGATGCCGTATAGTTATCTACTGATAAACAGGAGAGGAACCTTGGGTAAAATTATGAAAGAGCTAATGCGATGAGCCTCACTGCCAACATGCCATTAGCTAGAATTTAGTCATAAGGTCCCACCCAATTCCAAGGCAGGATGGAAGATGTTCATTTAGCTCAATACTCAGGAACAATACTTAGTATTATCTCTGTCACAAAAGGAAAGAGGATACATTCCCAACCTAAGTAACTGAGATTCAGAATTAACCCTGAAATAAGCAGCTACAAACTAGAGAGCACTAAAATCAAAAATAACCATAGAAGAAAAGAACAATATACAAAATTTCATATAATCTGGTGTTTAATTAATTTGGAAAGTAACTTTGCTGTGATCTTTCAAACCACCTTATGCAAAGTATTCAGAAACTTCAGTAAATAGCATCACCAGTCTTGGCTTGACAACTAAACTTACTAAGGTATTTGTCGGTTCAACTTACAAAGCATTAAACTATGGAGGTTGAAAAAAAGTTGCTTAAAAAAAAAAACAGAATGCAGCTTAATTATTATTTTCCTGAGTTCAGAGTAAGCATAGTTACATTAATGCCATAATGTAGTTTAAAATATTGTAAATAAAAAGCACCTGTTTCCAGGTATAAGCCAAACTCTTCAATAGAGAAATATGGGATATTAGTACATTAAAATCAACCCCTTTTTGAACCCATTCATAATTTATAGCTACCTACATAGTTCTTCCAACCATACCATGTCTATCTATATCATTAAATATCCTCTCTGTGTTTCAGGTATTTTAAATTGAAGCACTACTTGCAGGGTTCTTAATAAAAACAAAAAAATTAAGAGGGTAAATAAATTCAGTATCCTAGGCAAAAACCAGAGTATCTGTTTCAGGAACATAGGACAGTATACTTTCCATTTCATTTTACACACACACACACACACACACACACACAGAGGATGTCTCTCTTTTACATAAGAATGAACCTGGCTGCCTCAAGATAGGTTGTTTTGGTATCACGGAATGGCCTCTAGGGATCAAGTTGTTTCCCTTAAAAACTTGAAAAGGGAAATTCAGGCTCTCTTATCCGGCTTGCTTCAGACTTCAGACTTCAGGAGCTTGTGCCTCTGAATCTGTGTCGCCCTGCAATTTGTGTCTCTGAAACAATGCTGTCTCACAGACTCCCACTGCATTAGGATTGGTCAGAAGGAAGCAGAGGAGGAGCCACTGTGAACATGTTTTTTTTTTCTCTCCACACATCATAAAAATCAGCAGCTGGCACCTACAGCCCCTAACACTCAAAGCAATGCTCAGGCTGGAAACAGAAGCTTCCGAGAGGCAGCCGATGTGAGCATGTGCGCACAGATTCGTCTCCCAATGGCATGGCAGCTCTAGGAAAATTGTTTTGAACAGACTTGAATGCATAAGATTAAAGTTAAAGCAGAAGTGAGAACAAAAAAGCAAAGAGCAGACTCTTTCAACTGAGAATGAATACTTTGAAGCCCAAGATTTTAAAGTGATAATGATCAGAGTCGTACCTAAAAGAGACTAAAAACTCCATGTCACGCTCTGGACTTGTGACATTTACTCACAGCAGGCATGGCAATTTTAGCCTCACAACTTTCAGACAGATAAAGACTTGGAGGAAATAACTGAGACGACTCCCTGACCCAGGAGGCTAAATCAATTCAGGGGGACACGAATTCTCCTGCCAGCATGGTGAACTCCACCCACCGTGGGATGCACGCTTCTCTGCACCTCTGGAACCGCAGCAGCCACAGACTGCACAGCAATGCCAGTGAGTCCCTTGGAAAAGGCTACTCTGATGGAGGGTGCTACGAGCAACTTTTTGTCTCTCCTGAGGTGTTTGTGACACTGGGTGTCATCAGCTTGTTGGAGAATATCTTAGTGATTGTGGCAATAGCCAAGAACAAGAATCTGCATTCACCCATGTACTTTTTCATCTGCAGCCTGGCTGTGGCTGATATGCTGGTGAGCGTTTCAAATGGATCAGAAACCATTGTCATCACCCTATTAAACAGTACAGATACGGACACACAGAGTTTCACAGTGAACATTGATAATGTTATTGACTCAGTGATCTGTAGCTCCTTGCTTGCATCCATTTGCAGCCTGCTTTCAATTGCAGTGGACAGGTACTTTACTATCTTCTATGCTCTTCAGTACCATAACATTATGACAGTTAAGCGGGTTGGGATCATCATAAGTTGTATCTGGGCAGCTTGCACGGTTTCAGGCATTTTGTTCATCATTTACTCAGATAGTAGTGCTGTCATCATCTGCCTCATCACCATGTTCTTCACCATGTTGGCTCTCATGGCTTCTCTCTATGTCCACATGTTCCTGATGGCTAGGCTTCACATTAAGAGGATTGCTGTCCTCCCCGGCACTGGTGCCATCCGCCAAGGCGCCAATATGAAGGGAGCGATTACTTTGACCATCCTGATTGGCGTCTTTGTTGTCTGCTGGGCCCCATTCTTCCTCCACTTAATATTCTACATCTCTTGTCCTCAGAATCCATATTGTGTGTGCTTCATGTCTCACTTTAACTTGTATCTCATACTGATCATGTGTAATTCAGTCATCGATCCTCTGATTTATGCACTCCGGAGTCAAGAACTAAGGAAAACCTTCAAAGAGATCATCTGTTGCTATCCCCTGGGAGGCCTATGTGACTTGTCTAGCAGATATTAAACGGGGACAGAGCACACAATATAGGAACATGCATAAGAAACTTTTTCACTCTTACCCTACCTGAATATTGTGCTTCTGCAACAGCTTTCTCTTCTGTGTAGGGTACTGGTTGAGAATATCCATTGTGTAAATTTCAGCTTATGATTTTTAATGAGAAAAAATGCCCAGTCTCTGTATTATTTCCAATGTCATGCTACTTTTTTGGCCATAAAATATGAATCTATGTTATAGGTTGTAGACATTATGGATATACAAAAAGAAAAGTCCTTATTAAAAGCTTAACGATGTCTGTTTCGTGTTATTCATAAGCATTGGACACTTTGTGTGCTTTAGTAACATAGAAATCAGAGCCTCATTAAATATATTCTAATAAATTCGTTATTATATTACACTATCCACCATGGAAATGTAGAGAGTTCATTCTAGCAGTTAAGTGAAAATATTTAAAGAACAGATGCATAATCATTTCAAAAAATATCATCACTGAAATTTCAAGTAATTTAATTAAAGGTTTGTTCATCCTCCCCGTGCAGAAGTAGAAATGAAGCTCCTCTAGAGAGAAAAACAGGTGCTGAGAAGAGAGAGATGCTGAATCAGAGAACTATGTGTGCTTCTCAGACACAGAAAGATTCATCTCCCTTAGCAAACAGCCTGATATTTCACACGGGCAATTCAGTTTGGGGTGGGTGGGAAAAGGCAGCTATGGAGATGAAAGTGTCCTGGAAAACCTAAGTTGCCAAGTCAAGATCAATTTTCTGTTACCAAATTATTCCTAAACAACATTAATAAAACAGAGAATGGGGTATTTATGCCCCCTTTAACGAAGGATTCAGGGTCTGCTGAAGTGTCCAGAAAAGGTAGTATTGTACTGAGAGATTTAGCTTCCTGTTTCTAGAGAAGTACAGGACTGACATCGAATTCTTTCTCATTTCACATGAAAATGACTGACTGTTTACTTATTGCTTATTTTTTGAGCTGGAGTACAAATGTTGATTATCAAGGATTTTAAACTTCAAAACCAAATTCATAGCACAAGTGTTTCCCGGCAATATTTGTAAATATCTAAAATAAGAGTACCTGGGATGCTGGTACATTTTAATCAGAAAGGGAGGCACCTACCAAACCCCAGAGGATGTCGTACAATAAACTCGCCTTCCACAGCCACTTCTTAAAGAGTAAATATGTTTTGCTCCAAAATAATCCTACAGATTTGGCCACTGAGCAAAAAAATGTGTACTGTACTTTCTAATCTGTAGGTAATTTAAAATAAAGAAAAAGAATATATTAGGTTGAGGATTACCAGTAAACTATCTTGCAATTTACAGGGTCTTCAAACACTCATGGGCAGAGGTCATATGCAAAGGCACTCCTTAACTCAAATCTAAATGTTTTTTGCTGATTATAAGACCCAAGAAACACTTTCAACATTCATCTGAAAACACTACCTTAAAGGATAATAGTGAAGTTAAAGTTTATACTTAAGAAGAGGTACTAAAGCTGAAATTTTAATTCCACTGCAATTCCTCTATTTTGAAGCAAAAGTGAATGTGAGGATTTAAATATACACTAACAATCATAGTCTACAGCAGTAGAGGGACACAGTTATGTTTTTGTCATTGCTACGTTTCCTGTCCATTCTTTCATTTAATGAATCTGAAAAATTCCAGGGACTACAGATATGAGAGAGAGAGCTATGAGCAAGCCCCATCTTCTGTGGTGGCTGTCCTTCCCAGTTTATCCTATTTCTCCTCCAAGTGTCATCTCAGATGCCCAGAAGGAAATCCTGGTTCCTCCTTCTTCAGGTTCATACCTTCTCCTGGAGCAGTTTACAGTGTTAGGGTGTGTATAAGTCACGAATGAGCCATATAACACCACCCTCCCCTATGTGCCCATGGTACCATATTGGACTTTAGCTCCTTTAAGTGAAGAGACTGTCTCTTACTCATTTTTTCTATTCTCCAAATCTTCCTCTATTCCAGTTACTTCCTTTTGTTCAAGTAAAATCAAGATTCCCTCAGAGGCCAGGCCTTACCCAAGCCACCTCTAAGCTCCATTCCACATCCGGTGAGATTTGGAGCCATGCCAGCTCTAGTTGGATTGTTATTGGATCAACTGGGGAAGTGTTATGGTTTAAAATTGCAGGCTTAAGCAAGTGTATTTAGTGTGAATACAGGAGGGAGTAGAGAGTGAGAGTGGGGATGGAGATCTGGAGGAAACAAGCTTGAAGTACACTAAATGAAGATACTGTAGTGACCACGGCTGCTAGAGCAGATGCAGAGAAAGTGGTTATTCCAAGTAGGTAACTTTAAATATATTAGGAGCAAAGAACTGAAATTCACAGAATTGCATGAGAACATTCCCCACAAGGAAAGGGGATTCTATGTCTGCCCCATTCACCTTAACATCTAATAACAGCATGTCATCACGACTTCAGACCTGATTCAACCACAATATTCAGATTCCTGTTTGGCTCCCCAGTTCCATATTGCAGTCTCACTTTCCTTGCTGTTTTATTTTTGTGTATTCTGCCTCTTCTGTTAGCATGTAAGCCCCTTAAAGATAAGCCTTATGCTCAAATTTTTATTGCCACAGGGAATAACATATTTAACATATTAGAGAGACTAAAAAAATCTAGAGAGATAAAATATTCTTGACTTCTGAAAGTGGTTTCCCATTTAGTCTCACCTTGAGCATTCTTGATGCTGCATCTATTTCAGTGGCAGCAATGATGACAGATTGGGGCAGAACTTTCTTCTGGAGCAGCTGCCTAGCCATCATTGTCTCGCCCTACCTTGACTGTCTTCAGGGAAGGACAATAGAAGCCACGGTGGTCACCAGGGAAGCAAGTGGGTCAGGCATTGCTTGCACACAGAAATGTGATAAAGATAACTTCTAGCCACATTTCTGAAAAACCATGATCCATAAATAGAGAGATGTGGAATCATAGCACGAATGAAGTAATAGGAATGTCTGTCTCATCAGATTATCTTGGTTTTACTACAGACAGTAGAAGTAATTAGTCATTGTTTAAGCCATATCAAGACTGATTTGTCCAGTTATGATCTTAAGAATTAGAGTTATCTGTAGCTAAGGACACTGGCATATCTAAAACTTAGCACAAATGAGAATTATTCTTCCACATGCAGTGTCCACTAGGGAGAAATACATATGACTTATGCTAAATGGAAAGCATGGTACTATCCTATGTCTGGGACATCCCATCCCCACCCCAGTGAAGTACCTCCAAGGAAACTGAGCTGTAGCACACGGCTTAGCCTACAGGCCCCAAAGTGCCCCTCCTTCCCTCCTACTAAATCCACAAATTGACATCATGTCACCTTTCAGCCAACAAAAGACTACCTGAACATCATGGTTAAAAAGAAAACAGAATGAAATGCAAGACAGAGAGAGAGAAAGAATGCTTAACCAGGTTATGGATCAGCTTTCCACTTCAGCCTGATCAAAAAAATAAACGAACAAATAAATAATGCCATAAAACACGCACCCATGAGCAGGGGCTTTAAACATATATTAGCCCAACCCTGTTGGTGGCTCAGGAATTTCTACATGATGCGGCTTAGGGGGCAGTGTGGTTCAGAGGAGTTACATTGGACTGTCTTGAAGGTTTTTGTACAGCATTTGCCTTCTTTGATTCCAGCTGCATAGATTCTTGAAATGTGTTAGGAGGGATATTTGAAGATTATACTTTGGTGAGATTAATAAATTTGGGCACCATGGGTGTTCTAGAATCTGACTTCATCAGACAAGTGCTTCTTCTTTATGGTTAGGAAAAGGGAGTGGAAGGAGACTGGAACATGGCAAAGAGTATTGTCTTCCATCTTTAAAAAAAAATCATTCCATTAATCAGATGTTATTCCTACAGTTTTTTTTTAAAGTGTAGGCTATTTTGTCCTTTACTATTTCTATTGCTTATCTAGAAGCCAATAGTGTTATACATGATATGTTTTCAATGAATGCTTCTTACCTGACTTCTTGTTTTATATTTCTTTTGTGTTTTTTTCACTCAATTTTTCTTAAATTGCTTTGTACTGTTGTGATACACTAATGCAAGGAGAAAGAAAAAGGGGGAAAAATCCAAATGTTCATATTAATTTGCTTCAATGGACCAATGCTTTAAATGAATAAAAATGTGAACACATTGCATTTGCATTTGGCCTAAGCTGCTTTGCTTCACAAAATCCTACTGCAAAGAAAGCACTTTTAGTGGAAATAAATAGAGAGTAGAACTCTACAGTTACTGCAAGGACACTGCAGCATAGTGATCAAGGCTCCAGAAATGCATTTGTATCACATATCCATATTATGGCTTAACCAAAGGCATAAAGGAAACTAGATAGCCTACATTAGTCAACTTGAAGTACAAACAGATGTTCTCTTGGAATATTCTTAAAGAATGGAAATAAATGTTGCCTGCAAAAAAGAATATAATTATAGCATTGGAGCAGCCTTTGACAAATGGCTATAAATTTTATGGTATCAAATTTACATTTTTAAAAGCAAATTAATTTTCATAATTGTAGAGAAGGTAGTAAAGTAGGTGCTTTTATATCCTTTTATGTTGAAATACAAATTGATACAATGCATTAGAGGACATTATGCAATGTGTATCCCAAATCTTAAAAACACCCATTCCTTATTATTTCATTATGATTAATTTTAGAAGTATGATTGTTAGGTTAGGAAGCCACCCCTAATGGAAGGTTCACATCACCTCGTAAGTGTAACTGTCTGAGGATCTTTGATGTGACATCTGGTGTACCTACCCTCAAAAATTCCATAGTTTATTAGTGATAAAATGTTACAGCATTATTCTGTTGTGAAAATATTGGTAGATGACAATGAACTTTCTGATAAAACTTTTTAATATCAGACACCTTTTGTTCTATTGTGCTTTATATTTAACCTGTTGAAGAAAGAGTGTTTATTTGCAGTTCACAGCAAGATTAACCAGAAAGTACAGAGATTTCTCATGTACCCCTTTCTCACACATGAAAAGCCTCTCTTATTATAAACATTCACCACCAGAATGGTACAATTGTTACAATAGATGAACCTACCTTGACATATCATAATTACCCAAGTCCATAGTTTACATTACGGTTCACTCTTGGTGTTGTACTTTCTATAGGTTTGGACTTATATATAATTATCTGTATCCAACATGATAGTATCATACAGAGTAGTTTCTAACAATCATAAAAATATTCTATTCTCTACCTATTTATCTCTTCGTCTCCCCAACCACTGATAACCATTGGTCTTTTTACT